TTTAGCATAAGATAACCATTTAGCTCCTCTTGAATCATATGAAGGATTCATTTAAGTATTCTTCTCTTGAATCATTTATATTTGGGGAATAGTCCATTAAATGCGCCTTGACCACATTTAGGGATGTTAATTTAAAACTCCCATTAAACCATTTATCTCCTCCTCAACATTCTCCCCCTAAAATATATGGATTGTTGCAAGTATCATGATAGGAGGTAGACTCGTTTCTATTTGGGAAGATGCATTCATCTCATTTGCATCTCTTCCCTTGTTTTACTACAATAATCATGTTTTAATCAACACCAAATTTCTCCCTCTTCTGTCATCAACAAAAAGGAAAGGAGTAAAGGGATAAATACACATAATCTCACCAAACAATAGATATAAACAATTAAGAGCATGTGATGAAAAAATAACCATATATCACAATTTATTAGTTAGGAAGGAAATATATACTCACAATTATCACTAACTAAAAATTTATGTCAAATTTAGTGTCTTGGCTGAATCAAGCATTTTTCATGCTGTTAAAGGAGGTAAGAATTACTTGTTGACCCTATGTGTTTTGATGATAACAAACTCATTGAAAGTACTGATAGTGTGCTAAGTATGCAATTTAAGTAAGCTTCTCTAAGCTACAATTGTATTAAGAATAATTGCTATAAAAGAAGAAGAAGATATGGGGGCTTTGCTTGATTTAGATGCCTAGGCTTAATGATCTCAACACCAGCTTTTATCTCTTCATTGAGGATACTCCAAGGAAGTCCAAGAATGCAAAGGCTGCAAGAATGTCAAAAGCTTTGAAGCTGCTTAAAGTGGACTTATGCTTCAACATCTCAACAAGAAGTGTACATCAAGTATTGGTTTAAAATGCCGTATTTTTAGGATCTTGATGTTAGTTGCATGGATGTACCTTTCTTGATGCTCAACAACCTTAGAGACTAATGGTTAGAAGAGCCCTCACACCTTTGGAGAAATATTTCTAAAGTTTCAAAGTGTTGAGTTATCATTAGTCGACTAGCCAAAAGAATATAGTTGATTAACCTTAATAATAGAGGCTATAAATTGTCGATTGAGAGACATATTTGTCTAACCTAAAATGCAAAGTCAACTAACTGTGATGGTCAAGGCATGAAAATGCTAATCCAAGAAATGTAGTTGACTATCCCAAAATGTATAGTCGACTACCTATGACAGTTGAGGCAAAGTTTGCTTAAATTATGAAGAGTAGTCGATTACCTAAGAAAGTATAGTCAATTAACTTTTATAGGCCAAGTTAGAAAGCATTTCAGTCAACTGATTTGGAGGACCTAGTTGACCAAAGGAGAAAAAGGATTCCTCCCTCCTAGTAGATGACTATTAGATTTTACTAGTCAACTATTTTGAAGAATTTGACCCTTTGAAATCTTAAATGAATACTACTATATTTGGTAAGACTTCTAACATGTTGGAGTCATTTGGAAAGATTGCTAAAGATGGTAAAAGCCTCAAGTGGCTAAAAATAGTTACTTGCTCTCAAAACCTCTATAAATGTAGGTGTTTATGTTAATTCAAACAAGAAGAAAGAAGTTAATGAAAATAACTTTGTGTTGTTAGTGCAAATAGTCTTTAGGTTTTTTTTTTTTTTTGAGAGCATGTTTGTAAGAATCCATTTATTGAAGAGATTCTTGAGCTTTAATAGTTTGAGATGTGAGAAAAGGTGAAAAGCCTTTGAACTTGTACAGTGTCACTCATTTATTGTAGGTTTCTTTACTAAGATAAGCATCTTGAGTCCTATGCTTTTGCAACTGAATATATGTTGTATATTGCTTATATCTGCCTATTTTGGAGGGTTATTGTATCCTACTACCGTGTGCTTTATCTGTAATATCTTGACTGCAAAGAGGAGTTCTTGGTTGAATACCATTAAGGTATGGTAAGCATCCAAAAATTTTACTAGTTAATGTCTTGTCTTTACCTGTAAGTCCAACTCGTAAGGTATTGCAAGCACTTGGAAGCCCTGCTAGTTGTAAGGCTTTTTTCTAGCACCTAAAAGTCCGTCTGGTTAGTGAAAAGTCTACGGTAGAGGACGTAGGCAGGGGTTACTAATGAACCACTATAAATTCTTTTTTGCCTTGTCTATTTACTTTCATTGTTTTACTTTTCAAGTTTCAGTAATTATTATGCTATTAACATTTTATTAGCTTTTCTAATAACTACTTAAACTTAAATATCTTCTTATGTTGCACTTGTTGCACTTATTTTGTTTATTTTCTTTTGATATGCAAGATACAAATTTCTTGGTGTAGTTATTGGACTATAACTCTACTTTTTTTTCGAGTCAGGTTATAACTCTACTAACCCTACTAATTGCAGTAACATTTACATTAATTGCTTTATATTTCCATTGTAGTTGTTTATATTTATTGTTTAAATGCTTTATTTACACTTTAGTATGTGTCCTTGGGGTTCTAGTAGCAATATTCCAACTGCTTGAATCTCAAGTTGATTATTTCAATGGCTGGTCCTTCTCACAACTATTTCTCTGTACCTGGTCTTTTCATCTCTAACTACCTAATCAGCATACACCTCTTGTGTAGCTGCCACCTGTCCTGAATTGCTTTACTCCAAATGAAAAACCAGAGTGACTTAACAATTTTCTAGGAGAGATTGATGGGGTCTAATGCTATGAAGCCCCCAACTGCATTTCTTAGTTCTTTGAAGATGGTAGAACACCAAGCAATAATACATGGATCCTTTAGTGTCCAAAGCCACATCCTTGCTTCTCAACACAATCCGTTGGCATCCATTAGGATAGAGAGAAACAATGACCGTTGAAACTAGAGTTCCCAAAATGCCATAGTCCACAATCCTCTTCTTCGAAGGATAACATAAGAAGGATCTTACTCCCCTTCATCTTCCTCACACTCAACTCTTGCTAGTTGTGCCAAGTGATGAAAGTCCACCTCCCAACCTAGACCAAATCTGGGCAACAACCCAAGAAATGTAAGGTTAGACAACGATGAAGGAAAGCCTCATGCTCCTGAAGTACAACCTTTGAAATGAAGATTTTGTTCATGGTGCCTTGAACTTACATAGTAGTTCTTCCCTCCCAAAACTTTAGTCCTTGGCAATAAGCACAGCTCTTCAAACTCGTTTATGGCACTGCGAGATCTCTCTTGGAATGTAGTTTGGAAGAGAAAATCGTTACAATCAGGGATCTTATACTTTCTTTGACATTGCTTGAAGGGGATTCTCCCCTTGTTGGCTTCTCATTCAAGTAAGATAAGTCCCACCTACTTGCTCTGTAACTCTTCTGTTGAAACGCTTGAGCATGCCTTGTTCTTATGATAAGTTTGGTTGCCGAGAAAGGATGAGACTAGAAAGGATGGGATAAGAAAGACTGGAATGGGAAGAGAAAATAATTTTTCTTAGATTTGCATCCCATGTTTGTTTCCCGAGAAATGATATGCTAAATAACCAGTTTCCTGTGTTTGTTTACTGAGAAAATCGGTCAGTTTTGCAACGTGATGTTTTTCAATTGCTTGACATTATATTCACGCCAAAATCAGCACAAGAAATTGGTTTGAATATTGTTACCTTTGCACGAGTGAGCAAAAACGATATACATATCAACCCAAAGTGTATTGAAAAAAAATGACCACAAAACTGAAAAAATATAGAGCTTACGGTAGATCTATAACAGTCAAATTATTTTGGATCTGAAAATAGTTAGGATATCTTACCTTTGTGCGAGTGAGCAAAGAGATTTGGACACTACAAGTTTAAAAACACAAAAAATCTACAAGATAGAAGTGTAGATTTGTAGAAGAAATCAAGGTTACATGCCGGAAATAATGGATTCTGGCCAGAGAGCAGCCATCTCTTCCCGCCAACAAGAGGAGCTCGACGGCTACAAAAATAGTATAAAAAGTACTTGCCAGCCATCAGCGGTCATGTTCATGGTCGTACCTTGTCTGGAGATCAATGATATTGGTTCTGACGAGAAAGCTATTGTTGACGCAGGTTGGTGGTGAAGGTTGTGCAGAAAGAGAGCAGGAGGAAGAGCCCAATCTTTTTTCTCAGAAGTTTCCTTTCACACAGGGCTCACACCAAATCAACACGACCCTATTTCGTCCATTTTGAGAACACACGTCCCACACGTTTTTCCCTTTCCATCCCTTCGAACAAATGCTGGAAAACCGAAATCTTATGGGAATATTCCCATTTTCCCTTCCCCATCACAGCAACCAAACATACCATGATATCATTATGTCCTCCATCTTAGGCATGAAGTTTGGTTCGAAGTATCTTCTCCATTCGAACTAGGGAATATATATCCACGGTGTTCTTTCATGGATCAGTTGGTGGAATAATTTTGATAGTTAGAGCTCTCATAATGACATGTCCTTTTTCAATGAGGGCCTAATTGTTGCGGGGTATTCGGAAAGCTAGATGTAAGGTGGTGATTGAGGAAAAATCTTTCTCTCCCTATTTTGTCCTATAGGTGGCCCAATCTATCCTTGGGCATAGTTTCATCATCTTTAGTTTCACTCCCAGTTTCTCTTCTGGTGTGAAACTCCTCAAGGTATGTTGAGAATTAATGTACTTTCTATTGTCAAGCTCATGATGAGATGGAAGTTGAAGCTGATGCTTAATGCTTTCAAGGCTGGCTTGGCTGTGGGTTATCTGTTGGGGCTTTTTTATTTATTTATTCTTGACGGTGATGCATTTTCCATGGTCAAGCTCCTGTTGGATGGTTCTCTTGAACCTCCCTGGTGTATCTGGACTACTATAGTGGACTGCAGGACACGTATGTGTGGGCTTCACCCAAGTACAAGTCATTTACTCTCCTTGGTCATTAAACGAAGAGCTCATCTCTTAGCTAATTAGCATGGTAATTGCTCGATTTCTAATTGCTTAACTTGTTCTCCTTGCCTTGAATGGAATTTGCCTTAATGACTTCATAAAAAAAAGGAAGAAGAATCTGATTATTGAAGAATGTAACGAAATGACCAAAATCCTCAGAATTCCAGTGGAGCAATTGTATTAAGGTTTGTTCTCTCTATTTTAATAAGCAAGTTTTTCACTTTAATTACTACATATCAGCTAATGCAGATACATTTGGTGAATAATTTAAAACAAAACATGCCTTCATGTCATCTATACAAACATCCTCTATACGTCGGTGTCCAGTAATCTGATCCTGTGTTCTCACGATAAATTTGGGGAGTACAAGATATAGGGACTAAACAAAGACCTCGACTCTTAAGATCAAGCTTTGCCTCTCCTTTGTCCTTTCTCTCCAAGGTTCCCCACGGGTCCTGAGTCAAACCCAAAGGAAATAAAATCTTTAGCATACTCATTTTGAGACAATAACCAGTACATAACTGCAGTTGAACAATATAACGTTCCTTTCTGAGAATACCTTGTTTGCATTTGACTTCATGTATGGATTACTCAACAGCTGCAAAAAATGAACAGTCAATCAAGTTCCTCTGAGACGGAAATCTTACTACTATTGCTACCACTACCACTAATACAACAAATGATGATTCTACTGAATCACTAGTTATCCCGTTGTTGTTGGTAGTGCTTGTGGTACCATTTACGCGTTATAACGCGTGATGGAAAGTGAAGGGAGAAGTGACTATTGTTACTGTCAGTGTCATTATATTACTTTCCTTATTCTAGTATTGCCCCAGTTGTTAATTTTCAGTTGAAAAGATGATGAAGATAAAAAGTTCCAGTATACCTGCACTTGCTCTTGCAGGAACTTTATATACCCAATTGCTTCCAATAGCACAGACGCTGTATCAGTCTGAAATTATTCACCAAATCTGATGATTAAGGACCATCCGTTCATAAGATCAAAGCTTTTCAATAACACAGCATATTTCCCATGGTTACCTTGCCAAAAGGTGACACGATTTGTTGTAGAGTAGTGATCTTATCGCCTAGTTTCACTTTGGTAGCCTGCACCTGTAAATTTTCAGGATTCTAACAAGTTAAGAGTGCATCTATCCTTCTGCTTTTATTGCTATCACATATATATAGTTTACATAGACACAAAAACAGTCATATTTTCATGCTTGTTTATGCAGTTACTTTTATTGAAAATCTTAATTAACAACTATATCTTGATTCTAATCTTCTTTTACCTTAACAGATGCTGCTGTGGGCGTTTCATGCTTTGGTTTCTTGGGGTTTGTGTCTGAAGTATCTTCAGATCTTTTCTTCTTCCCTTCATTTGCAATTGCTGTTCCTCTTCCATTACCTTTTGCCTGCAGCATATTGATTTTGTAAGCTTGTAACCCAGAAGTGTAAGAGAAATAACAGATCATTCTTGCATGGAAGAATCCATCGAAATGGATCTTCGTAAGTGTCTAAAATGAAAATCATGAAAGAAAAATACAAATAAAAAAAAAGCATTATTGATGCTTGGTACTGCAGAATAAAATGGATAAAGAAGTATGAAAATGATTTTACTTACCAGAGAGAGCGAATCGTGTCCTTGTTTCTTACTTTCCAGTGAATTTGAGGCTTTCAGCGAAGGCTTGGAGGCCTGAAAATCCAGAAGGGGTTTGCTCAGGCAGCCACTGAATGATAGAAGGTTCCTTGTGTTCGACAATCTAGTATCCGTCATTCCATGGTAGTATCTGCTATTGTCTCCTAAGATTGAGTTGTTAAGACCCGTTTGATGTCCCAGACCATTATTGCTAAGTTGCCTTTGAAATGAAGCCCTAGAGGAATCCAACTCTTGGTGTTGGCTCTCCACCTTCATATTGTGCCCATAACACGGCATGAAACTGGGATTTCTGTTTCCAGCCACCACGTATAAGGATGGATTGGACGGATTTTGCTTCATCTGAGAAAACTCAGGGTCGGAGTACTGGTCTAGCGAAGAGTTCAAGGATATATTGCATGTCGGTAAGGTAATCTGCCGATCAGCTTGAGAGTCGGGTGGGGCAATAGACCAGTTGCTGACCAAATTGGACAAGTTGGTCAACCTTTCGTTTTCAACCAAGTTTCCATTAAAGCCAGAGAACTGTTTCTCCAGATTGTTAAAAGAAGTGGAGTTGGTGTATTCCCAGCCACCGTCCATCTTCTTCAGGTAATCACAGGCTGGTTCAAACATCTCGGATGATATGTTCTTGGATGAAAGTCCTCCAAGAAAGTTTTCACCGACATCTTGACCGCTGTTCAGCTCTCCATTGCTTCCGACGCTTCTGCAAAGTCGGATCAAAGTTTTGGATTCTCTTACGTAAATCATCTTCCGAACAGACTAAATTTGCTATAAATTAAATCTTGAAGCAGGAACACACAACTAGCTAATTAAGTAATTAAATTATATTATAAATCTATTAAAAACACGACTCTTGCTTCTTCTTCTTCGTACGTACACCTTTTCTTTGATCAAGCTAGCTTTCCATAATAATTGTATGAAGAATATTTCTTTTTGAATTATTGTGGTTAATGGGTTATAAAATCATATAATATATGACCTTCCTCTATTGCACCTATCCATTGCAGTCTCCTGTCTCTCCTTTTGATTGTTTATTCATCTTTTCATTCCACTGTCTGTTAGATTCTTTCTCCACTAAGATCAACGCCTAAAACAAGCATAACTCAAGATGGCTAAGATTAAAAATTTTCTTTCTACTTCTGGGTGTTAATAATTAATCAGACTTACAGCAAAACTTGGCTCCACAGATGATTCTCGGACGTGGGTTCTCCCATTAATTCACCTGATGATGCAGGTTCCACAATTTGACGCGATGAGTCGACGCTTAGGCCGGAGTGATTGGATGCATTGGTAAAGGAGGTCGAGATTGAGATGTCTTCATCACAAGAAGAGTTGGAGTTGGGGTTCGTGAGGGGCCAAGGTGCTGTGCTATTCCATGAAGACAAAGAATTGTTATGAGACTCCCACCAGTTTAGTGCAGTAGTTGTTGGGGTTGCAACAGAACCTTCAGACCCTTCTTCAGCCATACCGCCACCGACTAGATCGACTTTGTGCTCAGAGGGATGCTCTATCTTTGGTTTCTTTTCTTTCCTCTGGTGAGTTGGAAATTTATAGGCGATTGATCCTTTGGTAATGACGTACATATATAGGTTATCTACTTTTCAGGGAGACAATAGAAAATGCAACCCGCGTTCTTCCACTAAGGTGGTGGCCAATAATTATAGAGGGGGAGGGTCCATCAGAGGTTAGGTTAGGGTTTTTCTCTCTCTCTCTGAAGCACACGCGCAGAGACAAAAATATATGGATAGAGACCTCTTTTACAACCAAGAAGGACCAGTGGATTGATCTGATCACAGTTAAGGAGACGCTGATTTTGAAAATTACCAAAATTTCGTAAGAAATGGAATGTGATGGGAATCCAAAGTATATTCTTTTGAGTGTAGCATGAAAGTAAGCATAAACAGTTATATTTAGACCTTGAATGACATGAAACAATGGCCCTAGGCAGATTACTATTAACATGGGCCGATATCACTTTCTTTGCCTTTTACTCTATATAGCAAATGGAAATTAAAAAGGCTTGTCGTCATCGTTCTCTGTGGGGTAATTAAGATGACTGGTTATAACATTAGCCAATTCAATGATTTGATGCTTGTGATCGACTGTCCATGGGTTGTCTCACTGCTATTGGATCGATCGGCCGCCTGATAATCCTGATCACCAACTTTAATGCTGAAAATTGTTTTACCTAAAGAGAAAACAAAGGGAGTGGAATATATTGGAGAAAAACTTTGACTTCTTTAGTTTACTTTTAACTTGTGAGCACAAAAGTTAAGAAGGCATAAAAAACGAAGCAAACACGTTGAAATGCAATTTTGGTTCCAGTTTTGTTGTTCTCTTGATGGTCTCTCAGCACCTAATAATTATGATTCAGGAAAAAAAAAAGCACCTAGTTATAAAGCAAAAAATTTATTTTGTTTGTTAGCATCTAAGTACAAGGCAAAGCTTAGAAGTCAAGACAATTGACATAATGAAATCAATTTGAATACAGATGCCAATTAATGGTGTGAAAAATCAAACGATAATTTTGATGCACTAATGGAGATTCAACAACGCAATCGATAGCTTTCTGATGGCCTCCAAATATGGTGGTAAAAATGTCAATGATGTGCATTGGGTAAGAGACAGGTCAATCGGAACATGGGTGGAACAAGATACGGATTGCCAGGCATTTCGCACTTGAAAACTGAGACTAGTGTTCTCTATGTCCAGTTTCCATCATGGTTTTTATTTACTTTTAATATAGTTGGAGATGTCTTGGATTAGCAGACTAACTATTAACAATTGATCACATCAAATATTAAAACTTTAATTTTTTTGTTGGGGATCTACCTCTCCCTCTGGTTCATACATATATACTACATACACAAACAAGTTACATATTCATTTTCTTCCCATAGAAAATGTGCTTAGACTCTCCCTTCTTTTTTTTTTTTTTGGTTTCAGATGAGCATGCTAACTCATTTCATTTGGACCATTTAATCAGTTATCCTCAGATTATTTGAAATTGGCTACCTCTGTTACCCCTTTAAGTTTAGTAGTACATGTTATTCTGATGATGGCGGATTTTTTACCAAGTATCTCTAATGCAAACCCAATTTTGTGTGTCATTTTTACCTTAAGGCTGCGTTTGGAAATGATGCAAATAAGTGTGAATGCAAATATATAGAGTGTAAAACGGTTCATATAAATTGTAAAGTTGGGTTAGTTTTGTACCGATAAATTTACCTTCCTACCAAACAGACTTTTAGCTGTAATGGATGCAAAAATGAATTTCAATAAAGCATATACTTTTTTTTTTTATCAAAAACCCACTTAAATGCAAATTTACTTCTTTTTTATTGATGTACTTTTACATCTTATTATCAAGGTAAATATGTATTGATCTGTCATTTGTCAATACATAAATGTAATGTTACCAAATACAGGCAAAAGTAAACCACTGTGCAAATTTACTTTGAACCAGGATTTACACTCCGTGCATCGTTTCCAAACACAGCCTTAACATTTGACATCTAACACGTATTTGGATATTAGATTGAAGACATGCAACGATTTATGTCATTGATTCATCTATATCAAGTTACTTCTGTTGCCTCTACAATCTACATTACAGAAAACAGGGGACAATTTGGGTCAAACACCTAGAATCCTCCCCGGCCAAAAAAAAAAAAAAAAAATTAGGAACTTCATTTTTTTTTTAATTTCTTCATGGTCATCCTCACTTTTTGGGTCGCAATATTTTGTACGGTTGGTCTCATATCTCATATGCTCCATTTAGATCTCACACAAATCAAACTCTTAAAATTCCAATTCTCTCTTTCTAATAATTTGTTTTATTTACCACTAAAAAATATTATCTCTCTCATTTAGTCACTCAGTCTGTTTTTTTTTTTTTTTTTTTTTTTTTTTTTTGTCTTCTCTCATCATATTTTTAAGTTTGGGACCCAGAAAAGAATTCCATAAGAAACAGGCTTCCTTACTTTGTTCCTGTTGCAGTGCACCCTCATTGAACCATGATGGTTCAATAGTAGAATTAAGTCCTCGTGATCATTAATCTATACTTCCAACCCAAGAATGTTGTTATATACTCATTTATTTTTCATTGAAAATGTGCTTAAAAACACTTTCTTCATCACATGAAAGTGCTTACAGATCTGGATCATTTTAAATGTGCCCAATGGTGTAAACTCAACTAACTTTAGCACTTATTTAGTTGTGTATTATCTCTATGATTATCTTCTACCATATATTTGCATATGAGTAAGACATGATAAGAATTTAAGGCTTTGATTGATCTATACTAGGCTGTCGTTTCCATAGTTTCCATACAAAATGCTAGAACATAGAAGCTACTGAACCAGACTTGAGGTTTCAGTTCCCGTTTCATCTCTTCCACTAAAATGTTTATCTATAGTTATCAAATAGTCGTTAATCTTCTTAAGATAGAAATTATTGTTCTAAAGGTTAAGATCAACTAAAAACTGATGATCTTTGGATTTATAGAACGGGAAATGGTTTTGTATCTGGGTTTAGCAGATAACTTCATATTATGTGGTCGATCCAAAATGTTTATCCAATAGGAAATCCTCTGAATTGTCAATGTTCCTATGTGGTGTTTACATCCGCTCAACTATTATGATATTTCCCAGATCACATTAGCTGTTTAAAGTTGCATTTTTTTTTTAATTTAAAATTCACTCACATAAAAGTGCATATTTGAGACATGTAGCTAGGTCATTTTGGTTCATATTTCTTTTAAAATATCTTGAGAAGAGACATACATGTATTCTAATCATTTTGAATCAAGATTATAGTCTCATTTGGGTTGATTGATCTAAAGTTCTTCTTTAAACAACTCGATCAGGCAGCTAACCAGCTGTTCCCATTTTTCTGTCCTCTTATTAAACTTATATTGGTCCTCCCAAGGAAAAAATTATTGGTTTTTCCACTTCTTTTCCTACAGTTTCATGCACTACTAGAGTTGAGGTTGTAGTTCCATTCTCATCTCATTGAATTGCAAATACATGCATGATTATCCATTAAGTTTTTATTCATTAATATTTCTAAGCAAGGTTCAAAATATCGTTATGTATTGGCCTGTATCGATCGATACATATCGTATCGGGACCTTCCTGATACGCCCTTATAGGGGTGTATCCAGTCAGGCCATGGCTCAGAGGGTAACTGGAACTTAAACCGATCATTCTGAATCAGTTTTGAAAAAATAAATAAATAAAACACAAAAAAAAAGCACCGATACAGGTCGATACTCCCTACGCCCTACGGGCATATCGGTCTGTATCAATATTTAGAACCTTGTTTTTAAGTATTTACTTTTATTCCTAAGAAGATATAAATGAAAAACACTACATCTATTTGATTAAAGAGAATTTGGATTCAGAAGAGAATTCTGAGGGGTAATTGGCTTGGACAACCTTAGCCATTAGTTGAGATGATTTCTTTGATTTCCAATTTTGTATAAGCACTGAAGGTGCACCGACTGTCTCAGTTGGTAAGGTCTCGACATGGTGGATCTAGATGTAGCAAAGACTTGGGATCAAATCCCACCTTCACTGGGGTAACAAGAAAAAAAAATTGTATTATAAGCAATGAGATGGAGATAATTTGTTTATTTCCCCAAGTATGGATAAGTACTGAAACCATGAAAGGGTGCAAAGATTGACCCACGAAAAGAATCCATCTTTCAACAAACTCTTTCTCACCCCTCAATATAAGGCTGGTCTATTCAATTGTGGCTCTGCCTTCCAAATTGATGTCCGAATGTCAGATAAGGGACCCTGAAGGTCCTGTCCCAGAGGACATTGCTGAGTGTCACCCCAGACCATTCTGTATGATCAACAGAAAACATACTCCCACAAATTCGATTCCCTTCTCATTGCCTAGCTGTCTTGTCGACCATCCATCATAGGAATGAATGAACTCCATAATTTTACCTCTATAAACAACCTTCTGCATGCTCAGTAATCACTATACAGAAGAAGACATTGTTTCCTCATATTCAAATCATATCTATTATGACAGACCCATATACTAATCGTGGTCCATTAAAGAATGATCATATATCACTAACCTTTGTTCTAAACATGTATTTCATTTTAAACCTCAACGAGTTCCTTTATTAATCCAATCTTCTTTTCTAAAAGCTAGAGTTGCTTGGCCTATGCATATGAGTTAGGGAACGATGTTCCATTATGTGGGTGTGATTGCAAAGTGGGCTCTATGCGTCACTGATGACCTCCTGACATATACTTCCACTAAGATTTTCTTTGAAACCCTATATATGCCAATGGCCTAGCTAGGGAGGTAGTAGTACCTTTTGGTCTCTTTGTTAACAACCCTATTAAGGAGAGGTTTACTTGGTCAGAACCCATAACTTCATTTCCCCTGGTAATTTGCAAGGTTAATTAATTCAAGGCTTCAAAAGAAATTAGCAAGGTTAGTTAATTCTAGATCGAACTAATTTATCATCACCATCACTACTTAAGCCTTGTTCCAACTATATG